GGAGGATAAAAACGCGGACATGTACAGCGATCGACCCCTGCAAGTCAAATACGCATTCAAGCGTCAATACGATTCTGGCTTGAAGTCGAAAACATAGGCGCATCCCAACAGCGTCATTGATCAATTTCAAGAAATTTCTCAACCCTTCTAATTAAATTATTAACAGCTGGATTTTTGACGGCTTTCGGTGGCATCTTTTACCTAAGGAGTTTCGTTGAATAAAAATACATAGAACTCACTTTATCTGTCGCTGAACGGTAGGGTTCGCAGCTGCTAGGTCGAAGACCGCTTTTCGCATCTGAACAATTCAGAATTTTCAGATGACTAACTAGAAAATTCAGACTAAAAAAAGATTGATCTTGAAAGTTATCTAAATTAGTATTCAGGTTCCCCAAGCTGAGAGCTGACAAAAAAATGGGTCAGTGAAAAAACAAGTGGAAAGCTTATAAGAGCAGAAGGATGGACGTCTCGCCTTCGAGCCTCATTACCTTACTACAGTGTTATAGTTCTCTTTTCCATTCCTATTGTAGAACTTCAATCAAGGAGTAGCACCCCTCGGATAGCCGCGGTACATACCGACTTAAAGGACAGGTGTGCCTCCCCTCTTCCTCCTTCCTCCGCTACCTCTCTCGCAGGAAAGAGATTGTTGAGATCCGAAGAGTTCAGCATCATCTTGGCCGATATCTCCGAATTTACTGCCAGAGAGAGTTTTGCTGGCCAGAAAATTCTACATCTGACGACAAGAAACAAGAGAGAAAATACACTTTGGGACGGGAAATCATGACTAGCCTCCAAGTCATTACTGAGCTCCTCCAAAAAAGTGGAGAAGATCGCTGTTCCGAAATAACTAAGTGGAACGTCCCGCTTTCCGAAGGATGAGCATATCCACGCGAGGAATCTACGATTCTTCCTCTGGTTTTCTTTTCTTTCCTCTGGTTCTTGAAAATTCTGTCTCTTCTAGTGACCTTAAGGCCGACTAATATTTCATTCCCTCTAAGGTCGGCCAGTTAGTATCAGACCCGTCCGGGATTTAAAGACATTGACTTGTTCTTTAGTAGGCCATCGCAAGTCTCTGTATAGGCCACGCATTTATACCACCACTACGATACTGAATTGACGTTGAATGCGTGGCGTACGGGTGACTTCAAACAAACTAAAAGGGACCCTTCATACAACGACAACTAACAACATTCAGGAAGAATTGAATACCGTGTCATTCGCCATGCCATCCAATCGTCGAAAGAATCACTACGTCAAAAGATTTCATGCGCTCAAAGGCTGTAATGCACTGGCGTAACACAAAAAAAAGTAACACAACTAGTTGAAGTGAGGAACTTGTTACTCTTCATTCCCAGCAGCTCATCCGCCACGAAGCTCATCACATAACAACCTTGCCGTTATCATAGCGGACAAGTTCTGACGTTCGACTTTTTCGTGGAGCAAAAAAGCATATGACGAGGAATTCCTGAGGTTCTATCTGTTTCTTGTACCACGACAGATCTATGAACGACAAAAAGAAATGCCTCCGCAGCGGAACAGAGAGGAACAGGCGATACGGCACTTCCCGATGATACGGCAAGATCGTAGAACGACAAATCGAGAAGGGGAGTGGGGAGCAAAAAGGAGATGGGAGATAGAAGGGGGGGGG